ATATATATATATGTGACTTTGTAGCTTATAACAAATCCGAACCTTTACTCGAATTCGCATAAATAACATTAAAAAGCCAAACGTTTTTTTGTAGGATTAAAATGATAAATGTATTGCGTGGCTTGAAATTGTCGATTTGAAGCAAAAATACATTTCTACAGAAACTGGGTAATTGGTTACTTGGGTAACTTTTCTATTCAACACATAAGTACTAGACCAAAATTGTCATGCATGCGTAAGCTATAAATCTTTGAAATCACGCGACTATGGAATCGTCATGCCCGCGATCATATCAATCAAATCTGAAGGTGATAATAAACGAGCGAACAACATTCTCCCATCCACCTGAAAACATCAATATCCTTCCCTCGAGAAAAACATGGCACTTACAATTTGATTTGAAATTTTAAAAACCTAAATAGACCATTTATAAATCAATTACTTCGATGGACTTTTTATGGTTTTTTAAGTTTTTTAAGCTAGCTTTTGTTTTCAATTACAAAATGCGGGGTAAGATGATGCTAAGGGGCATCCTCTCGTTTTCGCCGTCTATGAAAATGAAAAATAACGAGTAAACGATTGACAAAAGATTAGTTGCAACCGGTGCATAAAACATAAATGATGGAAGTTATGTAAGTAATTCGCCAATCTAATCAAAGTTTTCCCATTTCAGACCGCGTGTTATTCCCTTGATAATAAGATTTCTTTGTTTCAGTCGTATCCATATCCGTTTCTCATGCGCAATGACCGTTAAGCAAAGAAATGATACTCTGGGGAATGCTACTACGTTGTTATGGAAAAACTATATATGCCCAGGGTAAAGATGTCTATATTTGATGGACACGTTTAGTGAATAATCCAGTTTCAAAATCTCTGTTTGTAGGATTAGTCTCCATTTTGTAAGGAACTACTTTGAATATTTATGCATTTAAGTGAAGTTCATCGGAATTTCAAATCGTTTGTATCAGTTAAATATGTGTATTCTTTCGACTTAAACCGTTGGTATTTGTGAATAACCGTACAATAGAATCGCCTAACCCTGCAAAAATAAGTCTGAGATCAAGGAACACAGCGGTATTTGACTAATTCGAATTAAAATGGGCTATTCAGACATGGCATCGCTGACGCCTCTTGATTGGTCTAGGTCGCAGACACATGAAAATAGTTTAACTAATGGATAAATGTGTGGTATTTTCTAGGACAGACATACAGTAGGGTACAAGGAGCCACTTGGTGACTATCAACAAGATTATAATATGACTTACTATGAAGAGGTCAATGGTACAACTACACTGGAGTTTCACAGGAAAAGACTGACTGGAGACTCAAAGGACTTGGATATCAAGGTAAAGTTGGTATACATACGTTTATACCAAATATCCGTGAAAAACGTAAGAAATTGCACAAATGTGCACATGTTAGTAAGTTCAGTAGATCTCAGTAGACCGTAGACCTACAAAACTTTGCCTGGTGGCTCACAGCAATAAATATAATTGTCTTGTCTTTCAAAAGCTTGGCCCGATGCTGCTTGTGTATGCCTACCATTCAACAGCAGATTATCCTTCTCCTTACAAAACCAAACACGATCACCAGGGATACAAAACAGTGGTTCTTCTACCATGGGACACAAAAATACCTCAAAATATCACATCTACCATCAATCCACAAGCAACAAGTACAACAACACGACTGAGAAGCCAAATACATACGACTATAAGATCATCCTCCATTGCTATGCCTACAAGCAAACTTCCTATATTCAAACCGCTGACCACTACTTTCGTTGTTCTGGGCTCACCAATCACATCTTCAACACCAATAAGCAAAAACTTGAATCCAACGGCTTCAGAGCAGAGAACTATGTCATTGGCAATGTTGCCTACGATAATGCCATCATCGTCAATGATGTCGACTTCTATTGTGACGTCATCTTCGGTGACGTCATCGTTGTCATCACCGCATTCTTCGGCCAACGGTATGATTTTATATTGTATGAGTTGAGTCCAGGCATACGATTTTCCTTTATCTTTTGCGTGTGTTTTAGAGCCCCCTAGGAACCAGGGGACGGGTGTACGGGGTGCGCACCCCTCCCTAGTTCGACTTTGTGCCCCTACTTCAAAGATCTAACTAATACAAAATAAGGTTTTTCCCTTTGATTCTAAGGGGCGCACCCCTCCCTGAACCAATTTCTGGATCCGCCCCTGACGACAAATATGGTATGTTAATTAGGGAATCAAGGTTAGATAGCGCTAGTGCACTAACCTCTCATGATCACCACGGGTTAGATTCTTGGCATGAAATGTGAGTATACAACTTGTTAAGTCTCTCTCCAGAGTTCAGATTTCAGAGTTTTTGTCCGGGTTCTCCGGTTTTGCTGCCTCTTCGAAACCTAACACGCTAAAATGATTCTAATTTGATGATATGAGTTAACAGTGCTCTGGCGCACAGTTAGTATAAGCCAAAGTAAACACAATAATAGCATACATTATGGAGATAATAAATTCATTAATTAAATTCGTCTGATCTTAAAATCTGATTTTTCTTTTTCGCAGTAAGAGTTGGTCTTCGTACAAAGATAACAAACCTCCGATATGAAGTTATCGAAGACAAAACGAAACCTGATTACCTAAAGTTCAAGAGTGAGCTGGAAAAATACGTATGTATAGAAATAGAATACAATACACCGATTCCGCATTCATTGTTCTACCTCCCTAGTTACTGTCGCTATGTCGGACAAGCTATGTGTTTTTGATATACAGCATGGAACAGACACCGATTGCTGAAATCGTAAATGTCTGTCTTAGAAATGATGCATTCTAAAGGTATATTGAGAAAAAGATCGATGACTACTAAAAAATCTTATGAATTCCAGTTTGTTGGTCGGACATTCACCGCCCTGACTTCCATCAGCCCARAGGTTKTTTCAGGGTTSGATCTGTGAGCTAGCCATGCCCTGGCTTTGATCAGCCCAGAGGTTGTTTCAGGGTATGAGCTGTGAGTTAGCCGTGCCCTGACTTTGATCAGCCAAGATGTTGTTTCAGGGTTTGATCTGTGAGTTAGCGGTGCCCTAACTTTGATCAGCCCAGTGTTTGTTTCAGATGAGTGTCAATATAATGCAATACTCCAGGTTCGAGTTCTCTTTGCTCAGCCTTAGTCTCGTTGTGCGTGGAATTTTGACCAATTTGTGCATTCCTTACTTAAGAGAACACTAAAGGCCAGTTTAGACGGTACGATTTTCGCCTACAACTATCGTATACAACACGCTCACGTCTGTCGTACAGGCGAGTTGTAGGCTTGATTTACACGCTACGACTCGAGTTGTATGATGGCACGAGCGTGTTGTGTACGATAGTTGTAGGCAAAAACCGTACCGTCTAAACCGGCCTTAAGACTGATAGAGCAGATGTGAAGTTCAAATGGGAGTATTTCAAGTATGGGGCGTGGAAATAACAGCTAAATCCAACGTCAATAAATAAATAAATTTTTCTTTTTAATTCAGTTGGAAAGAAGAAAACATATCTGGAAAGCTGTAGTGACAGAAATAAGGTACCTTAGGCTCAGGTCAAACGTCGAAATTTACATGAGCCGAACCTAATTGAAACAATGGATAACAATGCGGTCTTTTTTTATGTAATTAGGTTCGGCTCACGTGAAGTTCGACGTTTGACCTGAGCATAACTCTATGAAAAAGTACACTTTTTCATGTCTTATTACAGCTAGTTTATTCCAGGATTTTTCTCTTTTTGTTTTTTATCCCATAATATATACCTACTGTCATAAAGTGCACCTAATGGCTTAAGGTTACAATCTTGAATTACGCTTTTGTTTGTCGATATATTTGTTGTATTGAATATTTTGCCGAGATATACAATATGCAAATTATATAATTATGACGTCATCGGGGAGACGAAAGGGTAACCCAAATAGAAATATATATATATCAACTTCAAAATTGGCTATTAAATTTGGTAAAATGTTTTTCAGTTAAAGATCATATTGAACTGCGTAAAGAAAAAGAAAAGAATAGAAAATCTCAATTTTGATCTTTATCTGCGTTTAAATGTACATCCCACATGGAAAGGAGTGAACTTTGAAGTATAATACGAGTGAACGGGAAATAATTCCTCCAGTATTCTTCTATTTTCTTTCACTAATTATTTTACGAAAATGTTCGCGTCCACACGCAGCGTATTCGAATCGTTTTCGCTGTCCACAAGTATCCGGAAATTTCTTGATCCGCCCTGATGCAAGCTAGTGCCTAGTCCCTTTGACTGATTGTTTTTCTTATTGAGCATGCGCAAAATCGTGTTTACGTCATCGTATTCGAAAA